TATGGAGCATTTACACCTTCGGTAAAAATTGTCCAGAACGAAAAATGTACATTAGAGTAAAAGAGACAGATTCACAGCCTGTCTTTCTTACTCTAATATAGATTTTCCATTCTGGACAATTTTTACCGTAGGTGTAAATGCTCCATTATGGCGATGAACTGTGACTGTACCCTTATATTCCGGAGAGTATATTTTTCTCTTGCATGTGGTATAAACCGTTGTTTGCAGTCATTGAATTATTATTTTATCCCACTGGAATGTCTTTTATTAAATAAAAATACATTAATATAAATATATTACGTGGCAGCGTATGTGAATTTGGGAGTTTATAAAGCTACTTATTTGTAGTTTTAAACAATTACAAATTATATTGACTCTTAATGTGCAGCATTTATAGTGATGATTCATAGATTCAAAAAAATTGTATAATATGTGACACTATGTGAATGTGCAAGTTTATAAAGCTACTTAATTGTAGTTTTATACAATTATAATTTTTATTGACTCTTATTGAGCAGAATTTGTATAGTGATTCAACGATTTTAAAGAGAATATTTAATATTTTATATATATTAAATAAACTCTTGTATAAAGTTATATAGTGTTCTGCACTGAATAAATTTCGGATAACTTTCATAAAGTGATGATTTATAAAGGTAAATGTGGGCAATACATATGTGCCTTTTTTCTGGATTTGTCATATACTGAGAAAAATTTTCCGTCGCTTCAAAAGCGTTTAGTATCAAAAGTATAAAAATCACTCAATGTGACTGTTGTGATTTCACATTTAAACAGTCTTAGCAGGTTTTCTCGCAAAATACTTGATAAATTAAGTTAAAATTTTGTAGAGAATTCGAAAATAGTGTAAGTACTCGACGTCATTAAATTGTCTTTAAATGTGCAATTATTCAAAATTAAATTTCCATTAGCACCCAACAGCGTTTTCTTATATCTTCTTTAGCTCACTCTATCCAGTATTTTGCGAGAAAACCTGCAAAGAATATTTCCATGTAGAATCACAGCAATCACACGACCTAAAAGCTTTTGCTTTTACATAAATTATTTTCCTACTTTTAGCAGAAATGTTAAAGATTCAATAAAATATATTTTTCTTAGTGTATAAAAGTACGACTCTGATTAAGTGTGAAGTTCCATGACGATAGAATGTAAAAGTTGCAAAAGAGATTTATATTACTATCATGATGTCGCTTCACTCATATTTATAACTTGCTGCACTTAACATCGTCATGGTACTTCACTTTTTATATTTCACTACAATTTTCACATGTATGTTTTCTATTCTTAGATGCCACCTTCAGCTTTAGTTGACATCAGTAGCGCTGTAAATGCTGTGTGCTTATTTGCAGAAAATTTATCTGATGGCAGCATACCTGTATATTCTGATCAATTTTATGCAAACATTAGCAAAGCATTAAATGGAAAATGGACTGCACACAACGTCTACATAAATTTTAAAAATAATAGAAGAGAACTTCGAACAAAAGTATTTCAAAAATTAGGAATAAAAGAAAAAGTAACCGACGATGTAGCAAATGTTGAAAAAGAAATAACAAACAGTGATGATTCATCGACTGAAAATGAAACTTCTGATGGTGAAGGTTCAAAATATGAAATTCCAATTATTTCTAATTTTTCTAAAGGAAATATTTTCGATTTAAAAATTGAAAGTGAATCATGGGAAAAAATAAAACCTGTTATTCGTGAATACGGTAACAGAGAATATATAACATTAAAACCTGGCGAATGGACCGACGTTATTGCTGATACGTTTTTAATGCAATACAGATTACCTTGCGCTTTTTCTTTCAAGTTTTGCAAAGTATCAAATAAAATTGATCGTCCTTTTTTATACATTTACGCAAAGTGTAAGAGTAGTAAGTGTGGAAATGAATTAAAAGCATTGTGCAACGAAGAACCAATTGCTGGTGCGGATGTGTGGTTACAGGTAAAATGTACTGATACCAGATTACATAATCATGAAGTTGTTCAAAGACAACTTCGCAACAAGAAACGTCGGGATGTAGGAGAAAAAGTTTTGAGAGAAGGAGCAGCAAATTGTAGAAGAAATATGGCAAGAGGAACGGTTGAATTAGGAGATTTAAATGCTCCTACTTTGCCCACAAATGACGTTTTGAGAAAACTTCTACAAGAATGTAGGGATAAAGAACTTGGAATCAATGTTAAAGATGGGAATAACCCAGTGGAGATTTTAACAAAATTAAAATATAGTCCTCCTTATGCTGGTTCCATTAACTTTGTGGGTGCTGATCCTTTCCAGTTACAATACTTGTTGCCGGAGCAAATATTTTTAACGAAAGAGTACTTTCGTTTTACGAAAAACGAGTCTTTTGTTTGCTTAGATAGCACATCAAGTTTAGTGACTCCAGTAACTTCCGTAAAAGATGTAAAAGCGCCGGCTATTTTTCTATTTGAAATAGTTATCAATTTTAACAAAACTACTGTTTCCGTAGGACAAATGTTGTCTGCAGGTTTGGATACTAACACAATTTTATTTTGGCTTAATTCTTGGTTAATAAAAGTTGGCATTGTACCGAAACAGGCTGTCTGCGATTATTCGTACGCATTGTTAGGAGCCATGTGTCTGTCTTTTAATCGTCTGAGTATAAATGATTATTGCAGAACATGCTTCTTAGCATTAACTGAATCTAAAACTAAGATTCGTCCTGCAACTACATTTATAAGAGTAGATGTAGCACATCTTATTGCCATATTTTGTAGACTTAAATGTTTCAATGTTAACAACGTAGCAGTTAAAGATTTTTTTTTACGCTGCATTGCTTTAATGATATCGTGTACAACTTTTGAAACATTCGAAAAAATTTTACTTTTGACTCTGATCGTATCATCACACAAATACGACGGCGAAATAGTAGATTCATTACAACCTTCTGCGGCTGAATCAGCTAGACTAGAGTTATTAGATTACATGGCAAAGGAAAAGCATAACGCGATGCAATTAATACCTGACGAGCATAGTATTCAATTCAAAAATATCTCCAAAAAAATGGAATCAAGTGGGCTAAATATAAATTTTGAAGACTCCTTAAACGAAGAAGTTGTTGATGATATCAACATTTTACAATGGATAAACCGATTAAAACTTGAAGCCGAAAAAGATAAAAATACTGTACACTCGAGAGTAAATGCATATTATATGCCACAATTTTTTGAGCACTTACTTCTAAAATCTAAAGAATTTGTATTGTGGACTGGTGTGATGATTACTTATTTTCAAACGCAATGTATAAGAGCAACGAGTTGTTATGTAGAAGGAAATTTCGGAGAGTTAAAAAACAATATAATTGAAGGTATTCTTGCAAGATTCCGAGCTGACAAATTCTACAGAATCCATTTTAAAGCACTAAAAGGTCAAACCTTAATAGCGACAACTGCCATTACTAAAGCCTTTGTTTCCCAAATGGAGGAATCTCAGCAAACATCTATAATTGTTGAAGAAAAATCAGATATTAATGTTAATAATCTGGAAAGCGAAGTAGACTCTGAAATTTTTGCTAACGAAAGTCAAATACCTGCTCACAGTACTGCATTAGAAATTAAAGTAAACAGCTCAAAAGGATTCGATACTCCAACAAATGACCTTCTTTTCTCTGAAAACTGGAGAAATCAGGGAGAAGATGTTTCAAAGGAAGAAATAAAAGAAAATGTTTATTTCCAGCAACCAGAAAGAAAAATTCAAGTTTTACATGGTAGACAAGATGTAGCTCCTTTGATAAAAGAAAATATGACTTCGATACAACTTTTAGAAAATGGAAACAATTTTACAAAACCCATAAACATTAATAATCAGAAATACATCATTACAAACACGTGTCCTTTTGATGCAACCGTTCAAATCTTAGCAGTGGGTGCCAAAGATTTACCAGAGTATTTTCACCACATTCAGAAGTCAAAAAATTCAACATGCAAGTTTATTTTAGAATTTATCAAAAGTGGCACAGAAAATTCTATTTACGTTCAACGATGTGCAATTTTAAAGAACTTTATTGATCCTACAAGATCATCAACTAAAATAATGAAACTTGACGCAAAATCGCTAAATAATGAACATGAAGTAAGTTGTTTTTCTAATGTATTAGATATGTGGACTTTTCTTATGCAAAATGAACCAAGTGTTTTTCGAATTTCAAAATGTTCATGTAATCACAAGAAAATCGATGAGATTCCTTATTTACGGATTAACCATAAAAATATATTGAAAAACAGTTTTAAAGCACTTCCACAGAGTTTAATATTTGAAGACACTAACATTCAAAAATGTTCAAATAAAAACTGCAGCCTTTTGCATTCAGTAGAGTTGCAATACAATGCTCACATCATAATTGAGGCCGATGTCAGAGAAGCTATTGATTTAACGAAATCACTTACTTGTAGAGTTGACGATATTTCAGTTTACCTAACATTGGAAGGCAACAGTTACAGGTATGATAATTATAAATTTTGTTCTTTTATGATTATAGTTTGTTATACTTTGGTATATGTTACTAGATTTTTTTGTATATTCAAAAAGTTATTATTCAATCAACTAAAATGAAAATTGTTATTAATTTTTACAATATCTTGTTCAGATAATATTATTTACAATGCGCAAATTTTACTATATATAAAAAATTTTTACAGGTTAACTGGCATTATAATTTACCAACCAAACCATTACGTAGCTTTGTGTAGGAGACTTGATGGTAGGTGGGAAAAACATAATGACTCGGAAACAGAGATCCAACCCTTTACGAAAAAGGATTACCAAGAGCAATACACTCCATCAGCTTTCGTGTATATTAGAGAAGAAAGAATAACAGAAGATTATGAAAAATCAACTCCACTGGAAAATATTCTTTCAACACAAGTACATATAAATGAATCAGAAAAAGATACTTCAATTGCTGCAGATCAAAGTACTGTTAATTTTGATCATCCGTACTCAATTTTAAAAGAGAATGAAAATTGGCGAAACAAATTTGAAAAGGAAAATAGTTTAATAAATAAAACTATTTGCATTTCTTCACCAGATGATGATAAACAAACAGTCAAAAAACGCAAAAGAAACAATGAAATAAAACAGAGAAAACCATCTAAATACTTTAAAGAATGTCCAGATATACATATTCGACAAGCTGACATAGCTTTAAATAATAAACAAAAAACATCGATTAAAAACATTGATAAAAAATTTTTACAAAATGGAAGCAAATTTCCCAAGCCACTGGAAATCAAAAACCAAAAATACATCATCACTAATACTTCTACCTTTGATACGATTGTTCAAATATTAACAATAGGTTCAGCAGAGTCGCCAATATACTTTCAACATATGGAAATCTCTGAAAATTTGACTTGTAAATTCATTTTGTCATTTCTTAACTCTGAAAAAGTGAATGACATTATATACATTAAAAGATGCTCCATTTTAAAAGAATTTATTGACCCGGATAGTCTGAAAACCGAACGTATTAGAATAGGTGTAAAATCGCAAAATGTGTTACATTCGGTGAGTTGTCATTCAAATATTTTAAATATGTGGAATTTTCTCATGACAAATGAACCAAGTGTTTTCAGAATTTCGAAATGTTTATGTAATTACCAAAAAGTCGAAAACATTCCTCATTTACGCATTAATAAAAAAAATATATTAAAACACGGTTACAAAACATTACAAAAAAATATAATATATGAAGGAATTTCTACTAGCAAATGTGAAAATGAAAAATGTGATCTTCTTTCTTTGTCAGTACAAATAAAATACAATAAGCACATTATCATTGACACTGAGATCAATAAAGCTGAAGATGAAGAGAAATTGCTTACTTGTAAAGTTCATGATTTTCCAGTCTACTTAACTTTACTCGAAGAAACCTACAGGTATGCTATAGTCATAAAATTATTCTATTATAATTCACTAAAATAATAATCCAAAAAATCATTGAAGCATATAAAAATTCATAAGTTTACATAATTTTACTAAAAAATTGTACAATTTTATTTTAAATTACTACATGTCATATATTAACAATTAATACCTAGTAATAATTTCTCTTTTTCATAAAATTAATCAAATAATTTATACAGAATAATATTTTTAAATATAATAGGATTGAATTAATGTAATTAAAATACTTTTATTTACAGACTAACTGGAATAATACATCGCAATTTAGAAAATCAACATATAGCTTTATGTCGAAGATTAAACGGAAATTGGGCGAGATATAACAACTTCGAAAAAAAAATTCATCCATTTACTGCAAAGGATTATAATACAGGATATACAACATCAGCAGCAGTATACATTAGAGTATAGAAAAGTTTGATCATATTTTATTTGAAAAGAAAGTGAAAACATTATCTTTGTCTTATATATTTTATGTAATACTTAGGTACATATTGATGAACAAAAAGAAAAAAGTTCAAATATGTACTGGGAAATTTTATAAAAGAATTATTTTTATAACATAAATATTAGGTATATAAAAAAATATATACATTGTTGAAACTGAATAATAATTTATAAATATTATCTGTATTTTTTCAAAACATTTGTATTGCGATACTTGCAATTAAATTGTATGAACTAATGAAATGTCTCTTCATTCAATTATAATCGGAAAACAAATTTTAATTTGTATCAAATCATGATCTATTACTAAAACTTTAAATTATTTTTTCAAACAATTATTAATAATTAATAAATAATTCATAAAATAATTCAATTGTTAAAATGAAATAGCTTATTTTTATTTCAATTTAGACTTGTTATTAATTAAAGATTTTTTAAATTAATCGCTATAAATAAATAAATGTTAGTTGAAGATATTTGAATTGTCCGCCACTTATTTTGTGCGCATGCGCAGAGTAGGGTTGCAGTGGTCGAACAGATGTATTTTATAACTTTAAAGGTATGCTCTCACCTTTTGCTTGCATGCACGCATGCAGAAGTTGTCATGGCAACGTGGAGGAGTAAGTGAGAGGAAATATTCAAATTTGCATTTATTATCTCTATTACTCTTATACGTTGCCATGACAACTTCTGCATGCGTGCATGCAAGCAAAAGGTGAGAGCGTACCTTAATATCTAATTTAATTTGGACTATCAAACATTTAAAATATACTATCAATTGCTATCAATCGTCTAACAAACGAATGTAAAAGGAAAATCAATAATTTATTGAAAATAGGGTGCTTTGTGAAAATGACACACAATTCTTGTGTGTGAAATATTTTTACTAATTATTTCCATCAAACCTTGAATTTTAACTATCAAAGACTATCAAACTATTCTAGTGAATTATACATCACTATCAAGCGTTAAAAATCAACTATCAATCATTATCAAACGATTCTAGTCCATTGTATATCACATTCAAACGATAATAATTTACTATTAATCACTAACAAACGATTTAAGTAAATTGTAAATCACTATCAAACTATAATAATCAATTATAAATCATTATCAATCAATAATAATCAACTATCAATCACTATCAAAAGATTTTAGACAATTGTAAATCACTATCAAACGATTATAATCAACTATCAATCACTATTAAACCATTTTAAATAACTATAAATCATTATCAAACGATATTAATCAACTTTCAATCAGCATCAAATGATATTGATAAACTATCATACACTATCAAACGATTTATGCCAACTGTAAATCACTATATCAAACGATATTAGCCAATAATAATTAACTATCAAACGATTTCAGCCAATTATTAGTCACTATCAAATGATTTTAGTCAATTATAAATCACTGTCAAACGATAATAATTAACTATCAATCACTATCAAACGATTTCAGCCAATTATTATTCACTATCAAACGATTTAAGTCAATTATAAATCACTATCAAACTATAATAATCAACTATCAATCACTATCAAACGATATTAGCCAATAATAATTAACTATCAAACGATTTCAGCCAATTATTATTCACTATCGAATGATTTTAGTCAATTATGAATCACTATCAAACGATAATAATTAACTATCAATCACTATCAAACGATATTAGCCAATAATAATTAACTATCAAACGATTTCTGCCAATTATTATTCACTATCAAATGATTTCAGCCAATTATTACTCACTATCAAATGATTATAAATTATAAATCACTATCAAAGATAATAATTAACTATCAATCACTATCAAACTATAATAATCAACTATCAATCACTATCAAACGATATTAGCCAATAATAATTAACTATCAAACCATTTCAGCCAATTATTATTCACTATCAAATGATTTTAGTCAATTATGAATCACTATCAAACGACAATAATTAACTATAAATCACTATCAAACGATATTAGCCAATAATAATTAACTATCAAACGATTTCAGTCAATTATTATTCACTATCAAACGATTTTAGTCAATTATAAATCACTATCAAACGACAATAATTAACTATAAATCACTATATCAAACGATATTAGCCTATAATAATTAACAATCAAACGATTTCAGCCAATTATTATTCACTATCAAATGATTATAAATTATAAATCACTATCAAAGATAATAATTGACTATCAATCACTATCAAACTATAATAATCAACTATCAATCACTATCAAACGATATTAGCCAATAATAATTAACTATCAAACGATTTCAGCCAATTATTATTCACTATCAAACTATATTAGTCAATTATAAATCACTATCAAACGACAATAATTAACTATAAATCACTATCAAACGATATTAGCCAATAATAATTAACTATCAAACGATTTCAGCCAATTATTATTCACTATCAAATGATTATAAATTATAAATCACTATCAAAGATAATAATTAACTATCAATCTCTATCAAACTATAATAATCAACTATCAATCACTATCAAACGATATTAGCCAATAATAATTAACTATCAAACGATTTCAGCCAATTATTATTCACTATCAAACTATATTAGTCAATTATAAATCACTATCAAACGACAATAATTAACTATAAATCACTATATCAAACGATATTAGCCCATAATAATTAACAATCAAACGATTTCAGCCAATTATTATTCACTATCAAACGATTTTAGTCAATTATAAATCACTATCAAACGACAATAATTAACTATAAATCACTATATCAAACGATATTAGCCCATAATAATTAACAATCAAACGATTTCAGCCAATTATTATTCACTATCAAACGATTTTAGTCAATTATAAATCACTATCAAACTATAATAATCAACTATCAATCACTATCAAACGATATTATCCAATAATAATTAACTATCAAACGATTTCAGCCAATTATTATTCACTATCAAATGATTTTAGTCAATTATAAATCACTATCAAACGAAAATAATCAACTATCAATCACTATCAAATGATTTTAGTCAATTTTAAATCTCTATCAAACGAAAATAATGAACTATCAATCACTATCAAATGATATTAGTCTACCATTAATCAATATTAAACTGCGTACAAACGTTTGGAATTAAAATTTGACAATTTTGAAAGGAGAGTATTTAATTGTATGATATATGAATAAAAATTTGAAGTATTACATTTTGTTTCTAAAATCGAAGAGGAAAATTTGTTCCTGTTTTTTGAAAATGCCGCGAAAGTATGTTTTGCGCATGTGCAAATGGAGGGATGCGACATGGATAGATGTTTTTGATAATGTTTATATTTATTATTATATCAACTATCAAACGTTCAGAATTGACTATCAATCTCTATCAAACAACCAACAAACGTTTACAAATGAAAAATTAGTATTTTTTTGAATTTGGGGTGCAGTGTGAAAATAGCACACCAAAATTTGATTTTTGTTTATTTTTTCTAATTATTACTATCAAACGTTAAATATCAACTATCAAACACTATCAAACGACCAACAAACGTTTAAAATAAAAAAAAATTGATTTTGAATGAGTTGTGGTGCTAACTTCACGGGCATCATACATACATACATACATACATACATACATACATACATACATACATACATACAGACAAACATTTTTTTAAGACCCATTTTTTCGGCATCAGAAAGTCTAAAAACGTCGAGATTCACTGGAATTAGAGAATGATCAAAATCATCCAAATGTATAATCACTTAAACGCTAAAATGATCTTACCAGTGTTTTCTTTAATGTTCCAAAGGAATCCAATTGTAAATGCAAGTATAACTTATTTAATTTTAATAATTTACGAGTATAAACAATTGCGATTTCTGCTAGTTGACGTGCAGACGACATTGCGCACGCAGCATTCTCCTGTGACCAACTGACGTGATTCGTGGACTAAATTTGCTACGTGAGAATGCTGCGTGCGCAATGTCTTCTGCACGTCAACTAGCAGAAATCGCAATTGTTTATACTCGTAAATTATTAAAATTAAATAATTTATACTTGCATTTACAATTGGATTCCTTTGGAACATTAAAGAAAACACTGGTAAGATCATTTTAGCGTTTAAGTGATTAAATTTTAGATTGTCGCTTGAAATTTATTCAATTATTATTTAATAATTTTTTTAGTTGTAAAATTATAAAAAATTGTTCTGAAAGAGATTTATTCCTCTCATTTTCCTTGACATTTTAAGAAAAAGTAGACCTCAATCCGATTATTAGAACGGAAAATACAGCAGTTTAAAATTTTTTGTTATTATTGCAAATCTCGTAAACTAACAAATATTTTAAGCTGCAATTTACGTTGAAGATTAGTCTTACTATATATAACAAAATTCCAACAATCGGTTAACCTACTCCGAAAAAGTCAAAATCTCGCCTGGAATCGTACATTAAATATAATAAAATAATTGATTACTTGATTATTATCAAAATAATATTTCATAAAAGTTTTAAAACGTGTCTTTTTTGTCAATTCTAAACCAAAAAGTACCCTTAAGTATATCAAAAACCGAAGTGATCGATTTTTAAATATTCTTGTTAATCCATTCTCTGACAAGTAAAGAATTCTTTCCCTGTTATGCGAAAGTGGTATCTTTTGTAGTAAAAATACTATTTACATTTTTTTTGTACTATTCATAGATTTTCTAACGTTTATTTTATAAATATAACTTTTTCTCCTTATCATTCATTTTTTTTGTATTATTTTCAGAAATACATAATGCAAATAATGTTTGCATCTTATTATAACTGCAAAAAAAACTTTCGCAAAATAGGGGAAAAATTCCTTATTTATTAGAGAATGGATTAAAAAAAATCAAAAATTTTAGATGCTTCCCTAGTAGTTTATGTTAATTTTTATTTCAAATTTGAAATATTGAAGAAAAATCGAACAAAACTTCCACCCCTTACTAGTTACTTTATACAATTTTTTTTAAATGAGCTAATACTTTTGGGATTCAGGTTTAGGAAATGTACCTCCTATAGATAAGTATATGATCAGGGTTGCTACGGTACTGGAAAACCTGGAAAACCTGGAATTGTCAGGGAATTTTATAAAATTTTGTTTCGAAAATTAATTTTTCGTATTTGAATCGCGCAAATTTTAAATAACCAAGTTCACAATACTACCATTCTTTTCTATTAATATTATTCGGTTTTCAATTTAGTGCTCAAAGTTGAAGCAAAAATGGTGCTTCTTTTCGTAATACTGGAACTGATTAAGTATATGACAAAGTGATATTCAATTTTGTATTTAGATTTTTAAGTTCAGACCTATTCTATGCTGGTTCCAAAGACTCTAAATAAAATAAAACTTTTGAATGTAATTCATTTGCCTCATCTCCAATTTAAAAAACCTCCAATATAGTTATTTATGATACAAGTGCGTAAAGTGAGTGATTATACGAGTGTGACGTTTCACACGAGTATAATCAGATTTACGCACGTATATCATACAACATTTTTTGTAACACCCACCTCTAAAGTTAAGTACCTATTATGAACAATTCCAACTCTCTATTAGAATAATTTCGATTGTATAGAATTCAATAAATCAATCGAAGATCAGGAAAAATATCATTAAGCAGTAGTGTATAAATTAAAAGTAAAGTTCTTTCTTTAATTTTGTGGTTTTGTATGGTCTAAAACAATCCTTATATTATGTGAGAAAAATTTCGGTGCGTAAAGTGAATCACTTTACACACCCTAGTAGAAATTTGTCCTAGCTATAATAAAAGAACTGGCTAGTCGTGCTTGAATTTGTCTAGTTACTTTACTAGCCAGCTCGCTAAAAACTCGAATGTCATGTCACGCTTTTTTCATCAAGTTATTATCCAGCACAACTTGATAATTATTTATCAATAGGACTTTTGAAAACTAGTCAAATTAATTCTTTTAAATATTTCGAAATTCATTTAATAATAAGATTTAAAGTAGTAAACACGTTTATTTTATGTAATTAAAAAAAAATTCCAATTATCAACAAAAATTATTATATGAAAATATAATGCACTGAATTTATTTATTTTACGATTAAATTATTTTTATGGTTTAATAGATACATTGTCTTTGCTATAAACTAATTGAATTAACATTTTCAAACCATTTATAGAATTTATTCACAAAAAAGCTTAAGTGTCCCAGGCTACCCGAATCTCCCCTAAGCTAAAACTTTAATATAAAAATTTTATATTTGGTCAGGGAATTTTAAGAAAAATGGGCTGGAAAACCTGGAAATGTCAGGGAATTTTGAAATTACGAAACCGTAGGAACCCTGATGATAAAATATTTTTTCAATAGAAATATAAAAGGAAATTTTAATTTATAAGATGACCAATGCTACTCTCAATTGAATCTCATTACACATTGATTGTATAATGACTATAGTTTTAAAAAATATTGTTAAATGTTATTAAAACCTGCTACAATCTTTCAATAACAGTTTTTAATCAATCAGTTAATTTAAATTCTTTTATAACCTTAAAATAATTTTTTGATTAATCTGTAAATTTAAATGTCTTAAAAGAGCTAAAAAGATAATTTTTTTTTTTAAATTGTAGGTCTCACTGGCGGACAAATAATGAGAGTACTTTGAGCCATATTAATAAAGATTAACTATTTTTTTGGCTTTATAACATTTTTTTAAAATCGTTTTTTACCAATAATTTAAAAAAATGTTAGAACACCTATGGATATTTTTCTTTAATTCTGTAGAGATTTTTAAAATTCATCTTTTCAGCTATTATCGAATATCCTACTGTTATTTTATCCAGAGTTATTAACATTTTAAAATTGAAAGACCTGACTTTTTTGCATTATTTATTTAAAATTATTTATAAATGTATAACTTTTTATTATTGATTTTAAAAATAAAAATAAATTTACAAAAGATTTATATTTTTTTAATAATGTTTTGACAACAGGAGTGAATTTATGACATGTCAAACATAACGTTTCTTATGTAAATGAGAGTTAAGATTTAAAATTTAGTTTTAAGTTAATTTAAGATAATTTTGTTAAAAATCTTTATTTATATGGGAAATTTAAAAGGCCGAAAGGCCATACACGTGAAACCAAATATAAATATATATATATATATATATATATATATATATATATATATAAATATATATATATATATATATATATATATATATATGCCAAAGTGTAAGTCCATCTGCAATTGCATCTTCGATTCTTTTGAGATTTTTATTTCTTATAGTACTAATTGAGACTAGCTTCCATGAATTTTTTCAAATTTTTTAAGCAAGCCGTTTTCAATTATGGAATTTTGAAAATTGGAGAATTTTCAAGACTTTTAATTTTTGAATGCTCATAACTTCCTTAAAAATGCATTAATTTTGAAAGTCATTTTTGCAAAATGTGTGTTTTTAAACGTACTTTTCAAAAAAAAAAAAAAAATCGAAATTTTTTTAAAATAATATAACCATTAAATTTTTGAGTTTTAATGATAAAAAGTCATTTTTCTCATTTGACGTAGTGATCGATTTTTTTCAAAATTTTTTAAAAAAAACTACTTCTTTTTACGAAACTTTTAAGCATAGCCCGATATTGGGCAAACGATTTTTACAATATTTTTGGAATTTATCAAAAAATTTTGAATTTTTTAAAAATATTTTTGGTTTTTTTTATACTACGTACTTTTATGTATTTTGATGCACTGATTACGAAAATCATAGTGACAATACCCAAAAATTTGATTTTTATGGTGCAAAGCATAAAAAAGTCCCAAAATTTATGGTTTTTTTCGTTTATTGGGTAAAATATGCAAAATTAAAAAAAAATGTTCTACCAAAAGTTATAGATCTTATTAAAATACATTTTTTATATCTGATGCATTTTTTTTAATTTTGCATATTTTACCTAATAAACGAAAAAAACCAAAAATTTTAGGACTTTTTTATGGTTTTCACCATAAAAATCAAATTTTTGGGTATTGTCACTATGATTTTCGTAATCAGTGCATCAAAATACATAAAAGTACGTAGAAAAAAAAAACCAAAAATATTTTTAAAAAATTCAAAATTTTTTGATAAATTCCAAAAATATTGTAAAAATCGTTTGCCCAATATCGGGCTATGCTTAAAAGTTTCGTAAAAAGTAGTTTTTTTTAAAAAATTTTGAAAAAAATCGATCACTACGTCAAATGAGAAAAATGACTTTTTATCATTAAAACTCAAAAATTTAATGGTTATATTATTTTTAAAAAATTTCGATTTTTTTTTTTTTGAAAAGTACGTTTAAAAACACACATTTTGCAAAAATGACTTTCAAAATTAATGCATTTTTAAGGAAGTTATGAGCATTCAAAAATTAAAAGTCTTGAAAATTCTCCAATTTTCAAAATTCCATAATTGAAAACGGCTTGCTTAAAAAATTTGAAAAAATTCATGGAAGCTAGTCTCAATTAGTACTATAAGAAATAAAAATCTCAAAAGAATCGAAGATGCAATTGCAGATGGACTTACACTTTGGCGTGGAATACATCATATACATATATTAGTTTCTTAAGGGACTGATCATTATACCGATTACAATTAAAATTAACAGTAAATTTTTTGTAATTTTAAACTTTTTAGAGAAATTTTTGGAGGTCCAGAATACTGGATAATTGAACCTTCCAAATATATTATTTCCATATCAATATTATAAAAAATTTTTTTTTACACAATTCATGGCTTTCTTAATATAATAGAACTGTATGGTGAAAGTCAGAGCGGTCTTAGGACCCTTTCACAACAAAATGTGATAAATAATCACTAGGGATCCAGAAAATGACAGGAACATATAAACATTTTTAGTCAGAAATAGTCAACAGTATCAAAAAAATGTCAAGTCAGAGTAATCACAAAACGTCACATTGTGACTTTTTCTAGATGATAACTAATTTTATTTATAGTGGGGCTTTGCGACCATAAGAGGTTAATAAGTAAACATTTTTGTATAATTTTTTCAAATTGAAACAAACCTGTAACAATTAACTTTCTCGAAAAGTGAAACTGGAGCATCATATCCGCATTCTTCGAGAACTTCTTCCCTTGCAATTTCGACAATTGACTTATTTTTATCGATTATTCCAGCACAAAGTTCCAGAGAAACACCAAGTTTCGCTGGATATTTTTTGACGTCAACAACGCCAAATTGCTCAGGAACAGAGGCAAAGTAACAAGGAGGACGAAATTGTTTTACGCAAACAAGTTTCATTCGACTAATATTGAAAATGACAATACAAACGCCGTCGTGAACTCTCATTAAGTCCCAATATTTCTGTCGACCGTCTTGAGTATAATTCATTCTCAGTGGTCTAATGTAGGGAGAATCTGGAGGCATTGACATTACATATACTCTTTCTAAATCTAGCATTCTTTTTCGAATACTTGAGCTACTTTCTTCTATTGTTAATTCGCTCATTTCTTTCTGCAACTTTAAAAGTTTCTAGACACTGAAAATTAAAATACAAGAACTCAAACTGATTATTAATATTTCCAGTGAAAAGTGAGGTTAATATTTTATTTTGGTTAGGTCAACGAACAATTAGATCGTAAAACGTAAATCGTAAAGACCACAGCACAATAATATCATGAACAACGAGAAGCAGGGTTGCGCAGTTACGCGTAACTAGTGTTCTAAAGACGGTAACATACGTACGGAAGCTTCTACGCGCCACCACAAAACCAAGTTTATGCTCGATTCATTTTAGCCTCGAAAAGTAAAGAACCGTGTGTGATTTTGCTGTTTCCTTGTTTTTGACGTGAAAAACCGCGAGGTGGTTCGGGTGTTCGTTCGTTCGCACGTTCGCAGATTCGACAATTTGTCCAAAATCGTGTAACATTGTCTTTTTAGTTATATTTACAGATAAAAGTAAATAAGTTGAGATTTCAATTCTTAAATTTTATGTAAGATTTTATGATTTCCGCAATTAAATAAAGTTTTTGCTTTTATTTTGAGTAGAAAATATCGTTATTTTGAGGTGGATTGGTGTTTTTCTTTGTTATCTATGTAATAATAAATATAAATAAATAATCGATTTATTTTAATATAAGGTTATGTAGTATGTATGCACGTGAGATATTACATAATAATTGTCCTTCCTTTTCACATGTTTATCTTATATTATTTACAATAATATATAATGCTCAGAGAAAAGCAATTATTTAATAGGATATGTTAATAATCCTGTGTAATTTCGTGCGGGCTTTTTTTATTTCTATGTAAAGTCATCCCGCCAAGAAATTGCTTTTTGACAGCTTTAGAATTTGATAAGCATGATAAACAACGCTTCCAAATAAACAAAGTTTTATGAAGAGGGATCAGTCCAAATTATTTTGAAACATGTTGTTTTTTAATACTTAATATAATATTGAATGTAACTAACAAATTTTTGATTTACAACAATCACTGACACATTAATTTATATACAAATTTTTTACAAAAATGAATGTCTGACTGAATTGCTAAAGTCTTTTTTATGAATTTCAGCCAATTTATAAAATTTTTTTATTATATATAGTACATGATATATTTCGTTTCTTATAAAAAAAATAATTGAATTGTCGAAAAACTTCTTTATAATAATTGGAAACGCATTTGATGGTAAATTTTATAGATAAAAGTATTATGAAGATAATTTAATTTTCCAAAATGTACTCATAGTTAATATTAAAAACTCAAATTTCAATAGTTTTGAAATTGAAGTAATTGTAAGTGTTAATTGCTGCGACGAGAGTTTTTTACAATTCTATTTTTTAGAATAATTGAGTTTTAGAGAATTTCTCAAGAAAATGTTTTAAAATTATTCAATTTTAAATCTTTATTAAGATTATTAAAAATGAATGATTTGAAGACAATTTTTTAAAACAATTAAAATTTGAAAGATTATAAATTTTATTTTTTGACAATATAATAATGAAAGTTTTTAATTGAAAAAATTTAAATTATTTGATTTAAATTTATAAAAATCTTCTAGAATTTTCTTTGAAAAGTTTTTTAAGAAGTTAATATTTTGAAAAAATTTATCTTTCATCTTTCTTTAATGGAAATTATAAAATAAAGAAATTAGTTAGGGTCAGCTGGGGTAAATAGAAACAGATTTGCTATATTTCACCAATAACATAAGTTTTTTCTTTTAAATCACAATACTTTCGGGTTTTTTGTGTATTGGGTTATTATTTCACTTCCGTGGAACAGTTTTATGAGGTAGTAAAAAATTTGGGTATCATTAAATCGCAATAATCATCTGTTTCTATTTACCTTTAAATTTTTCAACTTTGATAAAATTTAGAGGTAAATAGAAACAGATAATTATTACTTACAAGTATGCAAATGTTAAAGGATACAAAAAATTACGTAAAAAAATTGTATAGATAAAATATCTATAAATATAACTAAAAAGACAATGTTACACGATTTTGGACAAATTTTCGAATCTGCGAACGTGCGAACGACCGAACACCCGAACCACCTCGCGGTTTTTCACGTCAAAAACATGGAAACAGCGAAATCACACACGGTTCTTTAAGGTGCTTATATACCTCAAATTTCGATCAGATGAACATTATTTCTGGACCGTGAAAATGCGTGAAAAGTCATTTTCACGGCGGGTATTTTTGAATTGTTTTAAACAAAAAATGTTTTTTTAAGAAATATAATATTAAATAATTGTTTTAATATGTAAGAACACTTTAAAATAGTGATAGAGAGATGATTTGATTAAAAAATTTAGCAAATTTTGCTTTAAAACGTTTTCTGCTACAAGAAAGTTTAAAATGACGATGTTTGTGAAATGGTTTGTACAGTGCTTCTTCCTTGTTAGTGTCTCTCAGAGTTTTGTTTATGTTATGTCGGTTCTTTTTAACTTGTAATAAATAATGAGTGCTGAAAATAAATCGGTAAGTTGAAATGTTTATCAAATAAATTTAAATTCAACTAATTGTTTCGAATAACTGAAAGAAACATGTACACATGTACACTGTACAAACCATTTCACAAACATCGTCATTTTACACTTTCTTGTAGCAGAAAACGTTTTAAAGCAAAATTTGCTAAATTTTTTAATCAAATCATCTCTCTATCACTATTTTAAAGTGTTCTTACATATTAAAACAATTATTTAATATTATATTTCTTAAAAAACATTTTTTGTTTAAAACAATTCAAAAATACCCGCCGTGAAAATGACTTTTCACGCATTTTCACGGTCCAGAAATAATGTTCATGTGATCGAAATTTGAGGTATATAAGCACCTTTACTTTTCGAGGCTAAAATGAATCGAGCATAAACTTGGTTTTGTGGTGGCGCGAAGAAGCTTCCGTAATCTGCGGCCTGGTCACACTGTCGGCGTGCCTCATAGTGTGCTCCGTATCCGTATCTTACGGAAGCTTTGACGATGCTTATTTGTTTTGATTGCGAACCCAGTATAATTATTTATTGTTACACTCGAATCTCGTTATAACGAATCTCGATACAACGTTCGCTTGTTATTACGAACACCAAAACTCTTTATATAACGACAAAAATTTGTCCCCTTTACCCCCACCAATTTAAAAAAAACACGATCGAATTTAAATATGTAAGCTATTAGATTCATCAATTTAAAAAGTTTTTTGTTGCTCAATTAACTTGTATGAGGTTAAATAGTAACCAACTATTACATATTTGGTGATTATCGTAAAATTAGAAAAAAAATTAAGTAGAATTTAGTTGTTAAAAGGTATGTATATATTTGAACATTTTTATTTAATTTAATAAACAATAATGTTGTTAATTTTTTAATTTATAAATAAACTTAAAATTAATTAACTTTTAGCTTTATTGAACCTAAACATTTAACCTGAACATTTTATTCAACTGTCTACTTAATTAGTTTAACCGCAATATTTCGGTAATTACAAACAAATATTTATTTTTTGAAACCTTGTAATTTCACTTATAAAATAATCAGAAATTACTTACTTTTTTATCCGATTCCATAATTGGAAATTAATATCATTCGTATATGTATACACTAAAGAATGTTTATATTAAATGTCAAACAAATTTGACATATTGTAAAGTTGGTTACAGATAAATTCACGTTTTTAAATAGAATGTGAAGTGGGGGCCCCTCTTGTCATCGTTATATCGAGATTTTAAAGTCCCGACCTTGTCGTTATAACGAGATTTAAGTGTATTACCGTGTTTTAATAAGTGATATGACATCAAATGCAAAATTATCTGATATACTTAATAAAAAATATTCATACTCTTGATAGATTTTATTAAACAATTGGATTTTAAATTAGGCTCTGTCACTTGTGCTGTCAGAGTCGATTCTAGGTGTGACGTCAGAGGCCTGGAGGCACAACAAACAGACGAAACAATGTTATTCTTAAAGAAAATTTGTTTCCACTTTCATCAATTTTATTCATATATTAAACATGGAAAACGCTTGTTGACATATAATAAAATTAAAATGTGTGTTGATAATTAATTATGTTATATATTTGATTCAATTGCATTGATAGATTCTCTGAATTCGTGATAAAATATAAATTTTGAGGTTAGAGGTGTTTGTTTACTGACTTGAAATCTTTTACTGCTGCGGTAATTCCCACTTAAAATATATATTTTATATCATTTTTAATAACATGCATACTGGTTATTGTTTAATAATGTTGTTAAAATGTAAAATGTGATTACCCTGCTAAAAATAAAATCACAAAACGTCAAAAAATTAGTCAGGATCTCTGACGTTTTGAGACTGTTTTTGTTACGATTGCAGTCACAGGACACCACAATAAGTGAGGTTTAGTCAAAGAATCGTCAATAGTAGTCAGATTTTTTATGAGGGTCGGAGACCCTTTTTTTTGCCATACCATAAATCATTAAACCCTGTGACTATTTGTGATGTTAAATGACATTTCTTTCTATAAAATAGTTTTGAAGATTCCTGACTTACTTCTCATGAATTCTGACTACAAATATTTAAAAATTAAAAAAAATCAATATTTTATCATTAAAAAAATAAATTATCGTACAACATTTTTTTATCTTTACGTTACACATTCTTAATTATTATTTTTACAATTTATTATATTTATTTACTCCTATCGAAGAAAATCTCGCAAACGCAGGGAATCGAACTCACAACCTAACGAACGCAAACCGAATACCTAACCCCTGAGCTAAACTAACCTAACTGAGATCTTAAAAATAGAATACGGTTTTATGAAAATAGAAGATCTTATTACTTTTTTTCAATTTTATCAACATATTTTGTTGATAATTATTATTATTATTTTTAAAAAATTTTATAATTTTTAAAAATTAACAAGTAAAGTTAAAATAGTAATAGGTATATTGTTATATTGATCAAAAAACATTTGTAGTCCAATTATCATATATTAATGTATTCAATTAATAAAATTTGCTTCAGCAAATATTTAATTAAACAAAAAATTCGTATGTAAATATTATTTGAATTCGAACTTAAAAGAATATGTGTAATATACAAATAAAATAGTCTAGAATAATAAGATACTGCCGGATTGTCTCAAGTAAACTCTGAGCGAATTTTATCAGGTTTTTCGCTCACGTTTTAGCACATTCATCACTATTATAATTAATTATAATGATAAGAATTAATTAATATGCATATATTAATTACTATATTATTAAAATTCAATTTAACATAATTCTTCCACAAATCAACTAAATAATTACTAATTTTAATTTCTCTTTTTAGCATACTGCACTATAATTAGATGTAATATTTGGTTCAAATCAAATTTATATTTAGTGGAAACTGGATCAAATTCGCTCAGAGATTGATTGAGCGATCAATTCATATATTCTATTTTACAAGAGACCAGAATGTTTTTGCTCATCTATAGTTGTAAAAAAATAAACTTTTATGTGAAATAGCCAGCGATTTCTAATTTTTTTCAAATATATATATATATATAGAGTTAACACAATGGTAAGAATAGGTTTTCAACATATGTTGCTTTCTTATAACTAAATGTAAGGAAACTAGCTTACTGTAAAATAATAAATACAAATTTGAAGTAGGGACTTTAAAAGTATAGTCGTAGTCATTGACGCCTTCCCTTTTCTGTCCTTGTCTTACAAACTTGATTCCATATATATTATATGTACGTTAGAAAAGGACAAAAAGAAAAGTATAGGCCAGAAGGATCTTTTATGGTTTTATGGCTTTTCATTGCAAAATTAAAAATTGTTGCATTTGAAAAAAATGATTTTTAAATATTATATTCGTAATGTACATGTTAATACAATTACAACGATATAAAATTTTTTGCAAATATTTTTAAATTATTGAGAATTAATTTTAATTAATGGAGTATTTATTGTATAATCATTATGTAATTTTAGAGTTTTTACATAATGTTTTATATCATTGGAATCGTTAAAATCTATAAATTACAAATATAACATTTAAAAAAATATTTATTTAAATTTAAATAATTTTTTATTTTGCATTAAAATGTCATAAAACCTGATGGACCCTCGAAAGGACCCTTCTGTTGGAAAAAGGGAATATATAATATAATAGAGTTATATGGTGGGTTTGAGTGGCCTTGGTACCTCTCTTGGAACCCTTTTTATAAAAAAAATAAAACGTAGTGAGAAATCGTCACTTTTTAGAAAACGTCAGGCCCATAAAAACTATTTAAGTCAGAATTAGTCAGCAGCATCACAGAACATCAAAATAGTCTCAAAACGTCAGGATTTCTGACGTTTTAAGACTGATTTCTGATTTTATTTTTAGCAGGGTAGTAAACAAACTTTTCTAACCTCAATATTTATATTTTATCATGAATTGAGAGAATCTATCAATGCAATTGAATCAAATATATAACAAAATTAATTATCAACATACATTTTAATTTTATTATATGTCAACAAGCGTTTTCCATGTTTAAAATATGAATAAAATTGATGAAAGTGGAAACAAATTTTCTTCTCCATAAGAATAACATTGTGTCGTCTGTTTGTTGTGCCTCCAGGTCTCTGACGTCATATCTTGAACTCGAAATATCTCGATGAACTGACACAGCCTAATGTGCTTTCGTTTTATTGTAGTTTAAGGTTAATATATGATGGTTTTGTTAAAAACAAAATGAAAATATTATTTCTGAAAATTTTATATTTATTCTGTCTTATTATATACATATATTTGCTAATTTAAATTATTTACAAAGAAAATATTAAAAAAAAGAGAAATATGTTACTGATAAAAAGGTTTCAAGATAAAGTTGACTTTTAATACGTTAAATAAAAAATAACAATAAATGTATATTTAACAACATTTAAGTATAAAGAAATGAAATTATTATCTGATTTTTAACTTTAACGAAACCAACTTATGCTAGTTTCATATTTAGCATATAGAACATCGCTGTTTCAATGTTTTTGTCGTAATGGCCTAAGCACAACTTAAGGTGCTTTTATACCTCAAATTTCGATCAGATGAACATTATTTCTGGACTGTGAAAATGCGTGAAAAATCATTTTCACGGCGGGTATTTTTAAATTGTTTTAAACAAAAAATGTTTTCTTAAGAAATATAATATTAAATAATTGTTTTAATATGTAAGAACACTTTAAAATAGTGATAGAAAGATGATTTGATTGAAAAATTTAGCAAATTTTGCTTTAAAACGTTTCCTGCTATAAGAAAGTGTAAAATGACGATGTTTGTGAAATGGTTTGTACAGTGCTTCTTCCTTGTGAGTGTCTCTCAGAGTTTTGTTTATGTTATGTCGGTTCTTTTTAACTTGTAATAAATAATGAGTGCTGAAAATAAATCGGTAAGTGGAAATGTTTGTCAAATAAATTTAAATTCAACTAATTGTTTCGAATAACTGAAAGAAACTTAATATACAGAAAGTATTTGAGAGATGCGTGGAAAATTTTTTTATAACCTCAAATTCATACACATACTTTTTGTGTTTTTAAATTTCAAGTTTTATAATTACTTATGATTTTCATAAGTAATTATATATAACTAATTTTCGAAACAATTAGTTGAATTTAAAATTACTTGATGAACATTTCAACTTACCGATTTATTTTCAGTACTCATTATTTATTACAAGTTATAAAGAACCGACATAACATAAACAAAACTCTGACAATGAGAGACACTCACAAGGAAGAAGCACTGTACAAACCATTTCACAAACATCGTCATTACTATATATAACAAAATTCCAAAGTTTCATTACAATCGGTTAACCTACCCTACCGAAAGAGAGATACTGGAATGGTACTGAAATGGACTTGGCTTGAGTTCCACTTCAGTACCACTACCTGATAACCCATAAGAAGACATTTTTAAAGTACTTTAACAATAGTTTTAAAGGTATGTTAGAACAGCAAAACGTCTCTCACGATATCCGTGTAAAACAGCAAAAAAAACATAATAGTTTGTAGAAAATTTCAGTTAAGTTTGGAAATTATATTGCAATCCCTCCTTGAACAATAGACTCCCAGGTCCTTTGTTGAAGGATTACAATTTTAACCCGAGTTTTATTGCTTAAAAAATTTGTAATTTTAACAACTCAACTTTAAAAAATATATATTGAGATTCGTTAATATTTCTAGATTATGAATATCTAAAATTTATCATAAAATAATTACATTTAAAAAAGTTATAATTTATCTCGTATACCTTAAGTTTGATAAAAAAATGGACATCATTTTTGAATTTAGCTGACAAAGGAAATATCATATGCATAATAATGTATGAAAATAATATAAATCCATGAAAAACAAATATAATATTGAAATAAATATAAAGTTTTTGTTTAAACATATTGAAAAAGCTAGTCGCTTTTCACTTTTATGAGGGTATTAACGGTAACTCGACCCTTTTCGCAGGTAAATTTCCCAGTTCCATTTCAGTACCAAAATGCACCAAATTAGTACTGAGTTGGTACTAAGATCTCAGTTTCAATTTCCCAGTACCAATCCAGTACCACCCTTCCGGTAGGGTACTCCGAAAAAGTCAAAATCTCACCTGGAATCGCACACATGGAAAACGTTTGTTGACATATAATAAAATGAAAATGTGTGTTGATAATTAATTTTGTTATATATTTGATTCAATTGCATTGATAGATTCTCTGAATTTGTGATAAAATATAAATATTGAGGTTAGAAAAGTTTGTTTACTAATCACATTTTACATTTTAACAATATTATTAAACAATAACCACCCAGATAGCCATAGAGATAATATAAATAGAGTAGACAAGGTATAGGCGGCTGCGTAAGAGGGAAGTGTCCTGACATAAACAGAATGGGTTGGAAAGAGAAGAAAGATTTAACACCAGTATCTGTCCTTCAATAAGCACCAGCGCAAGAGAGACACCTACTGGTGCTAAAATCGCGTTCTCTTTCTATCAAACGGACGCCTCTATACAGACCATCTCCACTCTATTTATATTATCTCTATGCAGATAGCACGACATTTTTCGGCAAGTTTGCGGCAAGTTTGCAGTGCAAAGTTCGGAAGTTTGCGCGGCAAGTTTGCAGCAAACTTTAAATATGTATAAAAATGTCCCCCCATTGGCAAGTTTGCAATGCAAATTTGCAGCAAATTTTAAAAGTAAAATTTCTGAAAATTTCCAAGAATAATTGTTGGAAAAATTGCGCGGATAATTTTCTCCAAGTTTGACTATAAAATTTTAGGAGAAATAAATTATAAATTTTGTTTAATAATAAATACTAACATTTTTGCAGAATTAAAAATTACAGAATTATTAAAATAAATTTTCCCATAAACCTCTTAATCTAGGAACAGAAAGACAGAAATGCAGGATTAATTTATTATAAAATTTATTATAAAAATGGTACATTTTTTTATGTTTAATAAAAGTAAATTTTTTAATGCCTAATGAATTGAATTCATAAATAAAATTTTTTTTATATCTATTAGCTAATAGTTGTTAAAATAATAGAAAGTAAATAAACATTAATTTTTTTGTCTAGTATAATTCATTGAAATATTTTTATGAAATTTAAGTCAGATAGAATTAAACTGAAAAAATTTTTAGATATTTGAAATTTGATATATATTTGAAATGATATTTTGATATTTGAATTTATTTGAAAGATTTGAATATGTTTGAAAAGAATTAAATATTTTTTTCTAACAATTTTTTGCATTATTATTTATGGAGATTATTTTACTGTAGATATTTATAAGTGTATTTTGTTTTAATTATTTAATTTTAAAAAGTAATTTTTCAGAATTATTAACATAACAATTTTTTATATCTTTTTCAAATTGGAAGTAATTTTTCAAAAAAATCGGTAAAACTATTTGAAACCAATTGAAATTTTTCGGTTTGCAAGTAGCTTTTTACGGGCTTTTATTAGTGTGAGCAACTACACTGAGAAACAATATTATTAAATAACTTCCAGAAATTTTTAAATTGCTATGCACAAAATTTATGCACTTAAATACGCATTTTAAATAATTTTCAAAAGTATTTTTTTCGTTACTTCATTTTTTTATAAGGCTATCATAAACATTTTAAAACCAAAGAAATTCTTTTAATTTCTGAATCCTAAATTGCATTTTACTTTACAAAAATATATTGATTACAATGCAGGCTTCACAGTGACCCTAAAAAGTATTTTAGGAGAAATAGGGGACTAAAAATATAAAAATAGAGGACTTTTAGGGGACTATGAAAATTATTTAAATGATGCTGAATTTCTGTATTTTCTTGAGAAAATGACATCAATGTACCAATTTTCAGTTTTGTCAGTGTTTACTGTGTAACCGAAACCTCAAAAATTAAGATTTTATAATGCCTTTGTGGAAAAAAGGGGAAAGTTAGGAAAAGGTTTGGAAATAGGGGACTTTTTAAAAATTAAAAAATGGGACTTTAAGGGAAATAGGGAACAGCCTGTGAAACCAGCAAATGAAACAAACAAGATCTTGAAATATATTGTTAATTTTACTTGCTTCTGTATCAGAAGCGATTTCTTAACAGTTGTTTTCTTCTCCTCCTTGTAGACCTGACTGATGTTACATTATTCACTATTAAGCACGGTGACTTATGTTTAGTTATTCAGATGTTAATCCTTGCTGATTCTAACTAAAATAAAATTTTCCAATTTTTTATTCCTTGTGATAATTCGATTTTCAGCAAAACAACCTGCACGATCTGCAACACAATAAAATTTTACTGAAAATAAAGGTGTATAATATAAGCTACTTGAAAATTGATTTACTTTGTTTACTTCACTTTAGATGTTGCTAGTAATAAATTCTTTTATTTACTTAATTTCTTTAAATACAATAAAAGCTGGGAGTAAACGAAATTTAATTCTGCGTGCAGTCACATTAGATCAAAGAAAAACTACGAAAATATTTTACGATTTACTTTCCTTACGCTCGGTCGAGAAGTTAATAAATGTTCAACTTTCTCAATGCTTTTCTAACCAAGAAAGTTGCATTTTCAGAGCAGGCGTTGGAGAAAATAAATTTCATTTTAAGCAAATGTCTTTTTAAACTTGTTGCTGTTCCAAGAAGAACATAGCGTTCCAAATAATTAATAAAACACACACACACATTTTTTATATCTCAAGAGTCGCTCTATCAAAGAGCATTCTGAAAAAGCTAAAACATTCTAAATAAGCAATTTATACACCATTTTTTTAAACACGATTTTTTAGATTTTTTCATTAGTTTTTGCAATTTTTTCATAGCTAAAACTTTCAGAACCCGTTTAAATATTATAAATATCTCATAAAAAAGATTAAGACTATATAAGCTAAGGTTATTTTGAGAATTTTATTTTTAAATGGCTGACACAAAATGGTGACTAAAGTCACTTTTTTAAATAATTTAATAAACAAATGGAGAAAATTTTCAAAAGTAGTTGGTTTTTTTTAAACTCGTTACTTATTGGAGAATTTGAGGTCATTGATTACGAATATGACTTTATTTTTAAAAAATTTACAAGAAGATTAGATTGTCTTGAAATTTTGAGGACGTTGTTTTACAAATATTACCTTAGTTTTTAAAAACTCTAAATGGCGGATCCAATATAGAGGACAAATTAACAATTTTTTAAAAAACGGGCGAATTTTTTTTAAATTGGTTGTTCAGGGGTTTTTGGGATTAATGATTACGAATACAACTTTAATTTTAAAAAAATTTTAATTTCATTTAAAGGCATTTTAAAGGGTTTGACTGCAAAAAAATCCCAAAATCCAATTTAAAAGTGTAAGAAAATTGTGTCTTCTTATGAAAATAGTATATATTAAAATTTTTTTATTTACTTATTTTTTGAGCATTCCGTTCGATAGAACGACTCTTGAAAAATAAAAAATATTCAAATATGCCTTTAAACTTAATGTGAAATTTTTGTACATCCTGTCCTCAATAGATTAATAAAAAATTTATTTTTATCATTACAAAAATGTTTTCTGACTTTCTCTTGATTTTTATTATTAATACGATAAATATTGTCATTATTGATTTTTGAATGAAATAAATTTTAAGTAAAATTTTTTTTTCTACTATATTTATATGATGGGTGTGTGTTCACCGAATTTTGTTCTTCAAATTCCCGGTCATTTCACGATTTCCCCGGTGACATTAAAGTTATTTTTTATTACAAATAAATTGTAAAATTAAAATAAATAAAAACATCTTTAATTTTAATGTATATTTCCAGATATTTCCCATACCTTTTCTATATATATTTTTGAATTAATTAATTAATAATGATAACGCCCTGGGAAATAAATCATTGAAGCACAGAGAAAATAATAAAATCACAACTTACCTTTTTCTCGAGCAGCTAAGATAATGCTCTTAATGATAAATTCCATTGTTTTATGAATCTTCAGTCCACAATTAGAAATTTTCCAAAATATATCCCTTCATACAATGCTTGTATCAGTACTGCGGAAACATATATGAACCAATACTAAAGACAAGTTTCATATTTGAATATTAAAAAACTTCCCACTCAAGTTCATGAAATTTGATGCATCCCTTTTTTAGTAACTCGTCTATTTTATCATTCCCAATAAACTTTCTAGAAAATAGAATTTTAAAAATTAAATATATTTTTTAAAAACTTTTATATTATTTCATAATAAATTGTTAACTTATATTTTGGATTAACTTTGAGGTAGAAAAATAACTACTTAAGTGAATGCAAGCCCCGAAAAATATTATCATCAATATTTAATTTTTTTAGTGTAATTTCTAAAAATTATTTTTATTGAAATTTTCGGGAAGCTTTTTTACTTCTAATCGTTAATAAATTTTAAAGTGACTCTTAAAAAAATTATTTAAGGCTTTATATAAAATTGATAAGCCAAATGATTAGGAATAACTTCAAGTTCAGAAAATTCTTAAGATTTAAACCCTTCTAAAATTGGAAAAATAGGTACTTTAACTTAAAAAAAACTTTCAAAAACTCAAAACTAAATTTTTTATTCTACGTTCGGCTTTGTTATTTAAAGATTTAATAAATAATTTGATGAATCATATTTTATACTTTCTACAGTCATAAAAAATGTAATTAATTTTTTAAAATTGTTTTTATTTATATCTTAATTTTTAAAAATTTTATATATTTATTTAATATAGTTCATATTTACCAATTTCTCTCACTTTCACAATTTTGACTGTAATTTCTTAATCGGCTACTTCAGAGATTGCTATTTACAAAAATGTAATGCAGAAGGGTCAATTCATACGAGGATAGGAGACAAAAATCGCCAATGTTGCTTTTCTTGATTTCTGTAAATAAAAAGTACAATTTATAAAGAAAATTTTTAAACCCATTTTTATTGCGTATTTTATCATTATCTACTTGAGAATGTTTTAATTTTATTATTAATTAATTATTGAGTAGAGAATGCTACAAATGATTAAAAATTAAAATAATCACTTTGTGATAAGTGTGTAACTCACTATTATGATTATCTTCCAGCATATAAATCTAAGTTTTCAATATTTTTCAAATGGTATTCATATAATTATTGAGTGTTGCAAAGGGAGCAGGATTACTTCTTCTGAAGTTGGTACTCTCCATACTTTGCACAGTAAGTTTTTTGTCGAAGTGGAGAACATGGTGTCTTTCAAAAGAATTCCTTTATGTATGTTTATCAACCTAGAATCTGGGAATTCATATAATGCATCAGTAGACATGATTCTCTGTACTATTAGTCGTGTATCATTGATACAGTCGATAATATTTAAAACTTGACCGAAGGTACCGTCCTTTAACAAAACGCAACTATTCTTTAATTGAAGACAATTAATTTTAACTGATTCAGTCTGGAATACTTTATACTGTTTTTTTATATCGGAGACATCTTTAGTAATTGGTCCGGTGTTGTGTGGTCTTTGCAAATTTGTTTTTTTAATATTCACATCATTTAGTACAGCTTCGCGTTCAGAGTATCTTTTGGCAATTTGTTCAAGAGGTTTATGTCCTTTTTTTATCATTCTCTTTATCGTTGACATATAGTTCTCGAATCTAAAAGCACTGTACTTGTCCAAGCGTCCAAACTTCTTAACATCCGCAATAAGGTGTAATAAGTTGTGCACATTATGTGACACAAATTGTTCCCCATAAATATTTTGAAAACCTTGGACAAAATTTACTAACAATTCGTGACAAGACTGTATATTCTCTGGAGAAAGATTAATTTCGCTCACTAAAACAGATATCGCAGTATGTAGAAGTAAGAAGTTCTCATACATTTCCTTTTTTACACCATTTACCATTATTTTCTTCAAAACCACAGGTCCTGTATATAATAAGAATGTCCGAAACTCTGTTGCCTTCCAATGTGCATATGTCAATAACGATCGTGGTTTTCTCCCAAATTCACAAGGTATGCTGCAACGAAGATTCAACAGTCTTTTAGAAATTTTTCTTATTTCTTCTGAACTTAATCTCACTTTAAGTGGACCCTTCACCCATAACTGTATGAGTTTCTTCATTACACCTAACAATACCAGGTGCATATAATCTAAAGGCACATTGGAGATGCAACCGAAATTTGGAATTTGGGTTAAGATTGTCTCTTTTCCATTGTCGAATTCTTGATAATCATTATTAATAAATCCTCCATCTGTTTTCAGAGGTGAAGGTTTGATTCCTGGAAAACATACAGTTCCCCTTTTTTTTCGACCTTTGCCTTTCTTCTTACGTTTTCCTTTACCTTTCTCATTTCCTTTTCGCGCAATATATTTACCTCTAATGGTGCATTTTGAACAGCTATTATATCCCGTATGTCCTTTCAGATAAAAGGTGAAAGATTTTGCCGGAGCATCGCAAACTATAGCTGTACACGATATTGAAACATCAGAATCTTTTAGTTTATTATTACATAGATAAATTAATTCTTCAACAAATTCCTTTAGAAAATCATTAGCATCTTCTGGTTTTGATGCGCCGTAAAACGCTCCAACAGGATATACTATGTCTCCATTTATTTCAGAGCATAGAATTAACCAAAGGCTTTCAGTCCCAGATTTTGAGATGGGTAAACCATCTATATTACATATTAATTTAACTTCCTTAATTGATTTTCCCCTTTTCTGGTACTCTCGAAGAATACCCCTTACGGCTCTCTCGACACCAAAATGATAATATTGCCCACCGCAAATTTCCGAAATTTTTACAAATCTGACTGTTCCCATCAAGGTTCTTGCATCCAAGGGCAAAGGAAATGGTAAAACTGATTTTAAAAGAAGTAGCAATGCAGTCAAAGCAACAAGGCTAATGTTAAAAATCAAAGCCCAATGACGCAATTTAATTTTAAAAGCATTTCCACAAGAGTCCTCGTCTACCAGATCATCATCTGTGTCTTCGTTTGAGGATAGTTTGTTTGAATTTTCACTATCGCCATCAAAAGAAGTATCCATTAATGAGTCATCACTACTGTCAGAAAGTAAAACCTCATCTTCAGAATCATTATTGAGCACATTAAGTGCATCATTTTCAACACTGAAAGAAAAATAATATAAGGTGCTTCAACAGGTTTCTTAAAGATAATTAAACAAAATATCAGTTTATAATTTCACTTTTTAAAATTAATTTTTTCAAAAAGATAAAAAATAAAATGATAATAATATGTACTTTTCTTTAAAAACATGCTCCATAAATTTCATGTGATCAATAGTTTTGTCAAAATGAACAAGCCTTGCTGAAATTTCGTATAAATTAGGCATTTATTTAGTAATTTCAGTCAAGTTGCAAAATAATTAAATCTAACCATTTGAATATTAAGAAATAAGATTAAGCTAAATTCAGGCAAATACCAATTCTAATTTTCTAATACTTTGATTGAGGGGGCAATACCAATTTTAGCGCGAAAAATTTAATCATTTACAGAAATTTTTTTTCTTGAAAATCACCAATATTTTTCGTTTTGGAAACTATTTATTATTTAAAAGTACATGTATTGAAGCTACCTTTAATTACTTTTAATTTAAAAATATTATAAAAGTTAAAGAGGAATTATTATTATAAAAATGAAATACATCAGTCAAGCGGCATAGAGTCCTGCTCAAACGTGTGTGTACACTGTCACGCGCGTAACCAGTACACCGAGTTGAAATTATTATTTAAAGCTATTAAACCAACTCGGCCATTCTGAATCTATTTTAAAAATTCTTTCTTATATTTTCAGGCACATTAAAAAAAATTAATAAAAAATACCCCAATTCAAAAAAATTCATTTTGTTTATAAAAAATTTTCATTTTTTTAATGAAAAATTGAAAAAAAATTTTATTTTTCTAGTTATATGCCATTGAAAATAAGTCTTCATTTAAAAAATCAAAAATTTTAAAAATTCATTATTAAAAAATTTCGCCAAAAATAAAAAAAATACATTTCTTTTTTTCTTTAATACAGAACAGAAAAAAATATGTTTGGGTGATTTTAAAGGGTCGACTGAAGTTTCACGTGATTTCGCCCATATATATATATTATATTTATTTTTATAATTTATTTTATTTATTACATATATATATATATATATATATATAAATTAATGAAAAATTTTGTAAGAACACTTTTAAATTTATATACTGAAAAAAAACAAAAAGGGTAAAATTGGTATTTTTGAAGTGCGAATTAATGTTGCCCCCCTTAAATTCATATTAAGAAATGCTAAAAATGTTACTTATTGAAAGTCACAAGCTTTGATAAATGGTCGGCTTTTTAGTTGATTCAAAAAATCTGAATAGAATTAGTAAAATATGCAAAAAAAATACGATATACATTGCAGTAAAATGTAGTTCAACAACAAAACATTTGAGAATTTACATATAATATTATTATGAGCGACAAATTTACTTTTTGAAAATGTTAATGTTACTTAACATATTCCGCAATTACTTGGAAACAATTTTTTGTGTTCTAAATATTATTGGTATTAAATAAATGAATATATTGTTAATATTTTGCTCCTCATAAAAAGTAATAAAGTTTTTTTTAGGAATACACAATCTTAAGAAAATAACAAATTTCATTACATAAATACCTATAATCGTTGACTTGTTTCACAACATCGTGGTTAGCATCCAAACAATTAGTCATATAATTACTCTCCACATTTTTACTAGATTGTAATACCTGGGTGGACTCTTCATATACATCGCTTTCCAAGACTGACAAGTGTTGCTTTAAAGTGGACCTTACGGAAAAAAATTATATTAGAATAATAAAGATAATGAATATTACTTGAACAAGGTATCATCAATTCTTTAAATTCATAGTATCATTCTATATAAAGTAATTATAAACTTTTTGTTTTTCAAGAAGATTAAAGTGGAGTTATGGTTGATCAAGTAGAGTTCAAGCCATGAGGAGCTGCAAAGTATTCCGAGTTATTCAATGATTCTGTGTAATCAAACTTTTCAAGTTTTCGAATTTATTTATTAATTCAAAAATATTAAATTTTCTAAATTTATAAAAAAAACTATAAAATGTTCAAAATTTTGAAATTTTCAATTACTTTCTTGCATTTGAGTACTGGAATGTGTTGAAGTTATTTTAATTTTCGAGTTTTTTTAATACATTCATAGTCACTTAACTTGGCTCTGCTCTTTAAAAAAAGTCGGCTCTACTTGGTTCATCTGTTTAAATTTTTTGCAAACCTCTACAACTTTAAGATTTCAACTATTATGATGATAAATTTTTGTTATTTTTAGTTACATGTAATGTACGCTATGGTAATATTATTATGATACAGTTTAATAAAATATAAGACTATTAATTTCTTTGCAAAAGATAATTTTTAAAACATTAGTTCGTTTCGATAATGATAAATTAAAATTCAAATATCTTTATGTCAATCTTTATACCGAGCTTTACTAAAATCGAAGGGGAGAACTATACAACAATGAACACTTATTTGTTCTAATTAAAACTATAGAAAAATGTTTAACACTAATTTTTTATTTTTTGAATTTAAACAAATAACATTAATTTAAAAAATATATATTTCAAAATAATTCAATTTTATAGTATAAGATAAGGCAAAACTTATAATATAAAAATATAAATTTCATTAAATATAAACAAGTAATGAAGTAAATGAAAATGAAAAAGAATTAAAGATTGTCATATTCTCAAATTAGTCTTAAATTCAATTAACTGAATAAAATTAACTAGTTTAAAAATTAAACTACACACTTATATAATTATAATATTTTTCTAAAAAAAACAATTATTTAAAAACTCTATTTAATAATTTATTAATTTATAATAAGGTTTTAAATGATTATACGAAGAAATCATTTTCTTATTATAAAATTGTTCGTTTAAATTTAACATTTCTGAAAATAGTGATATAAACTTTTAAAATTCTGTTTTGAACAAATGTAAACCACTTTATTATAAACGCAACATTTATCAATTGAAATAACTGAATTTATAATGTGGTTGTGATTTTATTGATTCATAAATTATAAAGCAATTACATTTTTTAATAATTATATAACGTCGGGATTAGTAACTTAAGGAATAAAATTTTTGAAAAAATAATATTTCTCAAATATTGAATTTAAATTATTTTTATTTTTAAACTAGAAAACAATTTTAATTATATCACGAAATTTTCAGAGTGAGAATATTAAATAATGGAATTAATAATGCATTTTTGGAAGAAATAGAAAATTTCATATTTGTAAATTGTTTGGACAAAAATTGTAAATTTTGTAACGAATTGAATAATAAACATTTAATAATAACAACGGGACCTAATAGTTCCGAAATTGTAGGTTATGTTTGTGTCCATTACAGATTGATTTAACGGTTTATTTTATTAAAATTATCTAACAATAAAATCAGTTTTTATTACATATTTTAGATGTAGTTAAGTGTTAAATTTATTTGTACTGAAAATTGATAGCCTTTGCTCTTTTTTATTTCAAAAACATACAAACATAACCTACAATTTTGCGGAATCTTGGGTCCTTTTCTTTGCACCGCGTCACAAATATTCAGTAATAAATATTGAACTTTTCTTCAAGTAATAATTTTATATTTTATTTTTATAATTTTTATAATGTATGTTCTAAATGGAATTTTTTTATTATTTGTTGAAATTATAATTGCAACAATATCATGTCCCTATTTATTTTAAATTGGAATTACTTACCTCTGGAGCAACTTATCACTCTCACTGCTCTCAGAGTCACTGTCTTGGTCTTCACTATTATTTTCAATCACTACTAGATCATCTTTTTCTAATTCTCTGTTTACAATTCGCCGAAAATGACGCTTGGAATATCCACATTGAAGGGATGCTTTTCTTTTAAATGAATCCATTTTCTCAGGATAAAGTTTCGGAAGTCACAAAATATCACTCGGAAAAATGTCACTAAAGAATATATTACTTCTTTTTGTTATTAAGATTAACTTTGAACTAACAGACATATTAAACAAACCAAAAATTTGGAAAGAATCACGTACGAAAAACACGAACGCATGCATAACCAGAATGCGTTTGTTTTCCAAAAATTTTCGTCTGCTATAGTAGAAGATTCTATAAGATTCTAGAAAAAACGTCACTTCCTCTAATCCCATTCCGATGTTTAAAAAATTGTTCAATTATTCAACTGTATTTTACAAAATAGAAAACATTTTATTTTCATACATTTACATAAATAATCATTGTAAGAAATATATAAAATTGTTTAAGATTTTTAAGAACTTAAAAATATTATTACTACAAGATAATCCAATTAAAGTCGCAAAAATAAATAATAGACACATGGCAACGTCGCTGACACGAGAAAAAAGCCGGCCGGTAAGAGGACTCACGTGTTTTGTTTTCGATCGCGTCATACGTGATCGCAGTTTATACGGGCTTCTTCTATCGTTTTGTGCAGTTGTGTGAAAATTGATAAACTTAATCATGTGCGACTTTGCAATTGTAAATTTTGAAGACGGGATGGCCATCATTAGATCCAGTTGGGCAATTAGAGACGAAAAGGGAAAAATAAGTTCCAGTTATTACCCGATGGGAAAAAATGCAAATTCCGTCGTTCGCCATCTTTTGTCTAGAGAAGATGTAAAAATATCAATTTCGAAGGGAGGCTGGAAAATTCTGCCCGTCGAACATTTATGCGATGCAAGTAAGTATAATTTGAAAAAAAATATCTTACAACTGAAAAATCTTATGATCTTAATTGGTCGGAACATTAGTTTTCACTCGAACATAAATATGTACAGACGGATCATAGAAGAGCATACGTGCCATATAAAATACATTACGCGTATACCTTTCTACGATCTATTGCAGTTTAATTATAGAATTACACATTACCAATACATTTATTATTTATATTATTTAATTTCTTCAAAAATTCATTTTTTTAAAAAAGTTGATGTATATGTGCAAAATTTAAAACAATAATTTTGTCAGAAAATTTATTTCCTGAGAATGAAAATATCAAAAAATTCAAACTTTTTGTAATCCAAGTAACTATGAAGTCAGTTACATTATGTTATTTCAATTATGTATCAGTAAGAGATTTTTTGTTCAAAATATAGTTGTTTATATATTTGTTCAGAACAAAACTAAAAATTTTAATGAACAATTTATTTAACCAAAAAATGAAAGTGTTATCTTATTTAAAAATTTATTACAAAATAATATTAAATTATTAAATAGAATTTTTAAATAACTTTTTTTAGAAAAGTGTTTTTTTAATCATTTAAAATTTATATTATATATGTAGTTGAATTTTTTAAATAGTTCATTTTGTATAATTAACGAATATAATACTATAATTTGAGGATTTAAATTTTCTGAATTCTTTTGAAAATGTAAAAAATTAATTTTACAATATAAATTGAAAAATTGCAACATAAACATAGACTTTGTTCTTATATTATTCATTCGATTTTATAGAATTCAAGTCTTATGAGAGTAAAAATAATTTAAATTTAAACATTTGTGCAAATTTAATAATGAAAAATCTATTATTCAATAAAACAATTATAAAACTATGGTTTTACAGTTTTGTTTTTTTTCCAAAAACTGAGTGAATAATTTAAGTTTTTAATAAAAGAATGTGTATTTCGCCGACAAAAAATTGAGAATTTAAGTTAAAATTTTGAAATGTGTAGATAAAATATTCTACAGAAATTATGATTGTCATCAGAGCAATGTGTTGCAAAAAGTTCTTAAAATTACTTTAATTTTTAAATATAAAAAAATAACTATCTATTTATAAATTAAAAAACTTGTTAAAAAATAAACAATGAAATAATTGTTTTCTACAACATATGAAACTTATTATAAATTATTATTATGTTATTAAATAATTGAAATTAAAAACAATTTTTTACAAATCATGAAATTTTTATATATATGTCTTGACATTTATTACGTCCAATTAAGAATTATAAAATTGTAACTTTTTTGCTATGAAAGTATAAACATTTATTTAAAAAATTTTATTTTCTGAATTTTTATGGGTCCCAATTGATAACTTATTACTTGTGAGAGTAAATAGAAAAGGCGTAACTCACGAAAACAGATTGAAAAATGTATATATTTTCACTCTCTGAAATTGAATCAGTAAAATTTATTAATTTTCTAGTGAGTAAACATCTTGTTACTTCAATCAGTGAAATGTCATTAGAAATAAGTAAAAAAATAACCCAATTTTGATTCATTTTTCAATGATCTAAGCAATTAAAAATGACATAATTTCAATAACTACTATTCAAATTTTCAGTTATATTGAAAAAAATATTATTTTATATCATTTTAATTTTTAGGTTCTTATGAGTTAGCGACTCAAAAGATTGATGTGTTAGGAAAATTGTCAGACATAGAAAGTGATGATAATAAAAATCTCGAAAAACTGCGCAAGACGAGACATCTTAGATGCGCAAAAACATTTCAGGATTTTGAAACCGCCGTCGATGCTGCAGTGCAAGAAAAAAGGATGCCTTTCAGTAGGTTTCTTTAGTAATTTAAAGAATTAATTTTTAAATTACATGTTGGACATGGTAAATTTTTGACACAAGTAGCGAAGGTATCTTGCAAATTAACATAAATTTATCGTTTTACAATAAATAATAAATTAACAGCACCAAACTATTTTAATACCACGGATCATAAGTTGTGCCTTATTTTCACATTTTTTCAACTTTCCCCTTTATGAAAAAAAAATTACTGTAATAATTACTAGAATAATTACTGAAAATACAGTAATTTTTTCGCTTTACATTATGAAAAAATTGAATGCACTCACATAATAAATAAAACCTAAAAAAACGATTTCATTGCAATTTAAAATGAGTAATGTACTTAAAAAAATATATTCGCGAAATAATTACTGGAATTCCAGTAATACTTTTTCATAAGGGTCTCACCAAGTTTCAAATTTTAAATAATCTTCATTTTGGTTGATTTTAATTTTAATTTTACAAAATTTCCACTCATAAAATTTTTAAACTAATTCAAATGTAATTGATCAAAATTTAAAAGTATCTGAATTCCAATTCATTAGTAATTGAAATTATAATGTATTGTTTTCGCGAAATTTTTCGAACTCATTTTTTTGACATATCTTTATGTTTTTTGACCTCAGGAATCCAAAAATGACATTTTTAGAAAATGTCATTCCGTATGTGTGTGTGTATATATACATTACATTTTCATAAATATCTCAAATTCTATAAGAGCTTTAGGGCTGAATTTTTTTTTAAATTGTAGATCTCATTTGGGGACATAAAATGAGAAAACTTTGGGACAAATTAATACATATTAACTATATTTTTTTTTACTTTTAAAATTTTTGAAAAATCGTTTTTTGCCCATAACTTGAAACACATGTTTTGAAAGTTGGGATGTTTTTACTTAATTTTGTAGAGTTTTTTAAGACGCATTTTTTGAGCTATTGACGAACAATCTGCTATCATTTTATCCAAAGTTATTGACATTTTAAAAATCATAAAAAATCGTTTTTTGCTCATAACTTTAAAAAAATGTTATGACACCTACAGTTTTTTTAGTTTCATTTTGTAGAGATTTTCAAGACGCATCTTTTGACCTATTATTTTAAATTTTATTGATTTAAATCTTTATTGGTAAATTGATTCTAATTTTAATTGATCCAAATAATATTAATGTAAATTTATATAAAACTCCAACTCCAAACTTGATGTACCCAAATTTCAGTTTAATCCATTTCAGTGTGCCTCTAAAATTATACTCCCGAAAAAATTTTCAAAAATTGAAACAGAAATTTTTTGGATTTTACAGAGAAAGTTTTTTTAAAATGTTTAAATGATTTTTCACTTTGTTAAAAATAAAACTGATATTTTTTTACTTTTCTAAAAATTGAACTAAGTGATTATGTGAAACAAAAGACAACTTTTTTATTAAAGCAGTGCTTTTATAATAAGCAACGCTCTATATTGCTCGAGTGTCTCGAATGCCTATGATTATCATTTTTTTAATGCCTTCCACCACAAACAGAAATGTACAAAAAATATATGAAAAAGTAGACATTTATGAAAAATTTTGCTGAAAATTCTAAGGTAATGTCTATAAAATAACAAGTCATAAAATAATTTTTAAAAATAAAAAATTTTTTGAGTTTTTTGATGGCAAGAATGTTTGAAAAGTTTTTATATAAATCATTTCAAGTTCACATTATATATATTTCTTTTTTTTTCTTTAAAATCAGTTCTGACTTTTTTGAGCAAAACCCATTTTTCTATTTTGGTGCAATTTTCCATTTTAAGTTTAGTGCAATAGAATTTTAACTAATTCTGAATTTTATTTATTCAAATTTCAAATCATTTTATCTTCAATTTAATGTTAAATTGATTGTAACCAATTTTTTATATTAATTATATTTTAATTTATTCCTTTTTCAATTAATTCTCAATTTAATTTAACGGAATTGCAATTTATTATAATTTGAATTCCTTCGATTGAAACTGTACGTAATGGATTTTAAATCAATTCACTTAATATTCAATTGCTTTAAATTTCAAAAGATATTTATTATTTTATTTATTAATTTGTTACTTCATATATTTAATTATTTTGTGTAGGAGTGGTAGAAATTTTTCCGGAAATTATTAAACTTTTATCACCTTTTTTGGAAAAATAGTATCCTAATCCCTGTAATGTATAAGCTAGGAAGAATTAAAATTACCATATTCGACGTGTAAAAAATTTTTCAAACTTGTGAAAAGATGTCTATATTTTATTGTCTGCTTTGTTTGGTCACTGATATATTTTACTAAATTTCATATTACAGAAAATATAAAAAATATCTTCCAGTCGCGGATTAAGAAGGAGAACGATAGACAGATGAAGAAATCAAATCTTGAAAATGAAGATTCTCAACGGATTGAAAATGAAGTACCAAAAGGTATAGATAACTCTAATATTGGAGGCACAAAGGCAACAGACTTACTAGAAGAAGACACAATTGAAGCAGAGGCAATGCAGAAGAGTTTAATTTCGGGAAATCCTATAAAAGCAAACTCAAGCGGAGAAAATACAATAGAAACAGTCGAAAATGGCGAAAATGCAATAGAAGCAGGTACAAGTGGAGAAAATGCCATGGATGCAGGCACAAGTGGAAAAAATATAACAGACGCAGAAACAACTGAAGAAACTGCAATGGAAGCAGACGCAGATGAGGAAAATACAATGGAAGCAGGTACATGTGTAGGAAATGAAAACGGTATAATGTAATTAAAGTCAAGTATAAGTTTTATGGCACTACATGCAGAAAATTTTATTTACAATTTTTATTCTTTATAACAATGGGTTTCGACCTAAGTGCCAACAACTCGTACTAGGGGACCCCGGATCAGGCTCGTCTTCATTACATTACATTTCATTCTTTATAGCAATGATTTTTTAAAATCGACAAAAACGTACTCTTTATATCTACTTAAAGAAATTTTAATTAATTCAATATTACCGACTAGTTCATTAAATAAAATACAATATATAGTACTTTAAACAAAATTTTAAATTAGAAAAAACGAAATTTTTTTCTGATAAAATAAGAAAAAGTGAGTCCCTATATTTTTATTTTTTTCCTTAATTTAATTCATTAAATAAAAAATTTTAACCACTATCCACAGTTTTCCACCCATGTGTAAAAATTAAATATAATTTTTCTAAATACAGAAAATTAAATATAATTTAAATATAATTTATATATAATTTAAATATATAATATATATACTGAATTTGCAATATAAAAAAAATTCATTTTATGAAAATTTCCTATAGATCATATTTTTTATTATTTGAAAAAAATTCAACTTGTTTTTAAAATAATTATTTTATTATACAAATATTAAATAATTTTTAGCAAAATTATATGAATTGCAAGAAAACAAATTGTTTGTTTTAAATACATTGTCAATTATAAACTACGTACTCTTTTTGAAATTTACTGTTAATCTATAAATATTTTATTTTAATTTTGAATTTTTTAAAAATCTATGAAAAATTTAGTTTTAGATCCGATGGTACAGGAGAGCCAGGAATTTGTGAATAATAATAATGGGACAGACAGAAAATTGCTTATGCAAATTTCCAGAAAAATCACATCAATGGGAGTTGTTTTAAAAATCATGAGCGAAAATCAATCGAATCCTATAGAATCCACTAATATACTACTTGACGATCCTGAAATGAAAATATTTCCCGCCAAAAGTGTCGAGGAACTAAATGAAATTAATAGAAAATTAAAAAAATCAAGTCGCCTGAGAATTAAAGTAAAAAATGCGCTATTATCGATTGGAAAAGGAACATCAATAAATACAACTGTATACGATTTGATGAACAAACTTTTAACATTGCAATGTGGACAACTTTACACGTTTAAGGGAAGGAGTAACAAGAAGCCATCCTTCGAAATTTTAAAATTAACTTCGATAATATGTGGTAAGTATTATTGTAATTCAATCTTGTCGACATTCATAGAGTTTCAATGAATTTTTTTTAATGGAAAAAGGTTTTTTGCAATAGGCTTAATCCATTATATACCATAATTGGTTGCAATAATTTTTGAAATTAATACAATATATTTTTAGCAGTCAATTTATTAATTATTAATTTTATAATTTTTTTACTTTTTTATTATCAATTTATTTATCTATATGTATAAAATTGGCAATTAAATTCTGAAGTTTCAGTGCAAAAAACAATTTATTTGATCTGAAAAAATTACACTTATGAAATACTTAAAAGTAAAATTAAGTTTAAGAATAGTAAATTTTACTATTTCTGAAATAAAAATCCAAATATTAACTTCGTAAAAAACTCGATTTATTAATTAAAACTCGCATTTTTTAGAAAACGTCCCAAGTTACAACCTGAATATAACTTGCTAGAAATAACTGAAATATTTGGACGTCCACAAATTATTAATCAGAAATGTATTTTTATGCTCTTCTTACGTTTTTTGTTTTCATTAGATGTAGTCGTGCAAATGATCCCGAAGGCAGATAGGTCCGATGTAAAGAAGGCTATTATATTATGGTTGAACCAATGTAAAAATAAGGAGAAACGTTTACAGTAAGTAAATTTTATAGAGAAATTTTATGTGATTTATATGATTTTCTGCTGACTTGTTTGACATTTTCAGTTTCCCTTTATAATGAATGCAATCATGATTTTATTAAGAATTATTATTTTCAAATATTAAGAATCAGATAAAAGAGAACATTTTAATATTTAACATTTCAATAAAAACTATTTAAAATAACTTAAAAAATTGTATCAAATTCATACGTAACATAAAAAAATTAATAAGTTAAAAAATTGACAACAAATAAGAATACTAGTTAAACTTGAATAGAATATTTTTTAAAATCCAACTTAAGAACTCTCTCTTGAAGAATTCAGAGATATTGAGAAAAATTCATAAAAGTTTTACTAAATAATACAAAAAATTAAATGGAAGAAGGCAAGAATTAAAAATCATAAAAACTATCGTCATTTTCAAATACATCTTTTAATAAAATTTTTACAGTAAATATTAATTTGTTTTTATATTATAGAACTGCCTTACAAAGACGCCAAGTGAATGAGAGAGATGTAATGGAATCTTCAAGCGAAGATGAGGATGAATAAAAGGTAAATTTTTTGTAATTAAATACCCCAGAATTTGAATTCTAAAGTTTAGTTGCAAAGAAAAGAGGTTTTTTAGAAGTAGAAGCATATAAATTACAGTTGCAATTTCGAAAATTAAGGGTAGTGTTAAATAGTTTCAAATATATTTTTTGGAAGAGATATCATTCTTTTGATCATTTAATAATTCGCATTTTTTAAAATAATCAGTTGCCACATTTAATCTTCCGATTTTTAGTCAAATTTTGACATTCCGAATTAATTTTAACATTATAATAGACAGCAGATCTTGTAAATTAGTACAAATTGTAGTATTTTATTTTTTCTTAATAAAAACAGGAAAATTTTTTAAATGGGTGTCAGTCGACTATTAAAATTTTACGGACGTGATTAACTTATTTTTTAGGATATAAAATTTATAAATATTTAAATAAAATTATATAAAAAGTTTTATATTTTATTGTTAACAGTTGTTAAATTATGTTAACATTCAAGGTTTTTAAGGCCTGTATTTATATTGCTAATTTATTATTATATAAATATGAGAAATTTTTTATACGAATTATTAAATTTTTCTAGATATACGACATAACGAATTTCAAGAATAAAATATAATGTATTGCCCTAAAAGTACCTCTATAATTGTTTATATTTTCTTACCGTAAAAAACGAGTTTAATAAAAAATATGTTAAATGTTTCAGGTGTTTAAAGAAGACGAAGGATTCAAATTTTAAAAAAGACTGCTTAATTTTTAATAAAAATAATGTAACATTTATAATAATAACTTAATAAATCATGTAATAAAAAATTAATCCATTGTTTGTCTTTCTGGCCCCAGTTTAAATATATAAGGTTATTTATATGTTAATAATTCTATAATTTTAAATACTGAAAAAATTTTAGTGTTTATTATTAATTTATTTATTTATTTATTTATTTGTATACAATTCACAATTAAAATTTATAATTTATTTATCCTAAAATTTTATAGACAAACTTGGAGGAAATTATCCGCGCAATTTTTCCAACAATTATTCTTGGAAATTTTCAGAAATTTTACTTTTAAAATTTGCTGCAAATTTGCATTGCAAACTTGCCAATGGGGGGACATTTTTATACATATTTAAAGTTTGCTGCAAACTTGCCGCGCAAACTTCCGAACTTTGCACTGCAAACTTGCCGCAAACTTGCCGAAAAATGTCGTGCTATCTGGGCAGTATGCATGTTATTAAAAAAGATATAAAATATATATTTTAAGTGGGAATTACCGCAGCAGTAAAAGATTTCAAGTCAGTAAACAAACACCTCTAACATAAAAATTTATATTTTATTACGAATTAAGAGAATCTATCAATGCAATTGAATCAAATATATAACAAAATTAATTCCCTATAAGAATAACATTGTGTCGTCTGTTTGTTGTCCCTCCAGGCCTCTGACGTCACACCTAAAATCGACTCTGACGTCACAAGTGACAAAGCCTAATAAGTATACAATAAGGGGCTATGGCCGTTGCCGAATTGGGGATTTTAGCGCATTTTTGATACACTCTGTAAAATGTCGAAAAAAAATTTTCCAGCGACGGCAATTTTCCTTCAAAAGTCTCTAGTAATATTACTACTTTTAATGTGAGGAAAATACATAATATGCAAAAATGGAAAAATACTAAATATTGTAATTTTGATATTTTGAATATTGGGATTTTCAACTCCGCGGTAAATTTCTTTTTCTTGACGGTAAAGGACCCCGCACGTTTTGCATGGAAAATGGCTTTCAGCCAATTTTTCTGAAACTTTGTAGTTTTGTAGTTTAAGGCCTCCTGAACAAAAAATGTTAATGGCAAAACTTAAAATAATGGACAGTTTTTTTGCTACAATGGCTCAAAGTTAAAAAACAATAGCATTATGGGCATAGACTTTTGTGAATTTAAAACTTTTAAAACTTAATTAAATCTGCTTAAAACTCGTTACTCGGGAGTTTTTGGGGTCGCTGATTACGAAACCGAGGTTTGTTTTTCAAAATTCAAAATGGCGGATCCAATATGGCGGACGACTTTCCTAGAATTTGATTGAATTCGCATGAAACTCATCACTCGGAGGTTTTCGGGGTCGCTGATTACGAATCCGAGGTTTTTTTTTTAAATTCAAAATGGCGGATCCAATATGGCGGACGACTTTCCTAGAATTTGATTGAATTCGCATGAAACTCATCACTCGGGGGTTTTCGGGGTCGCTGATTACGAATCCGAGGTTTGTTTTTTAAAATTCAAAATGGCGGATCCAATATGGCGGACGACTTTCCTAAAATCTGATTGAATTCGCATGAAACTCATCACTCGGGGGTTTTCGGGGTCGCTGATTACGAATCTGAGGGCTGGTTTTCAAAACTCAAAATGACGGATCAAAAAAGGTCGATGATTTTAAAAAATAATCATTGAATTCTCTTGAAAATGGTTATTCGGGGGTTTTCGGGGTCGCTTATTATGAACGTGAGGGCTGTTCTTCAAAGCTCAAAATGACTGATCAAAAAAGGTCGACGACTTTTTGGAAAATCGCTTGAATTCGCCTGATTTAAAAGCCAATGACTCCATACTTAGGTACTTTGCCAAATTGTAATAGTTACAGTAACGTTAAAATCGTGATGGTATTGCAGTACTTCTCAAGAGTACGCTCTTTCTTTGCATCCCAGTCCTTCCGACTACATACTATCGAAACAAAAACGTAAGGTTCAGTATGTCCCTTTTCCGTTGTTTTTTGGTTCACCTGGGCTTAATCTATCAGGTCCTGAAGAACCTTTAGTCTGTACTTGATCGTGCGATTAATGTTGTTTTGAATGTCACAAGATTTTACCATCTTGGCAACTTCCTTCCTGATTTTCAGAAGAAACTTAGCTTCCTTTTTCCGAAATATAACGCATTGAATGCTATTTTCGTTAATGATCTTGTTGTCCAAATCAGACGGAATCAGGCATTAAGCGCTTTTTTCGCTGTTTACATTGAGAAGGCTTGACGTACTGCCTCTTTTGCTGTCACTATGATCTGTGGAAGATTCACAGTTTTACTTTCCCTACATTTCAGTGTCACCGGTTACCATTTTGAATTTTAAAAAACAAACCTCGGATTCGTAATCAGCGACCCCGAAAACCCCCGAGTGATGAGTTTCATGCGAATTCAATCAGATTTTAGGAAAGTCGTCCGCCATATTGGATCCGCCATTTTGAATTTTAAAAAACAAACCTCGGATTCGTAATCAGCGACCCCGAAAACCCCCGAGTGATGAGTTTCATGCGAATTCAATCAAATTCTAGGAAAGTCGTCCGCCATATTGGATCCGCCATTTTGAATTTTAAAAAACAAACCTCGGTTTCGTAATCAGCGACCCCGAAAACTCCCGAGTAACGAGTTTTAAGCAGATTTAATTAAGTTTTAAAAGTTTTAAATTCACAAAAGTCTATGCCCATAATGCTATTGTTTTTTAACTTTGAGCCATTGTAGCAAAAAAACTGTCCATTATTTTAAGTTTTGCCATTAACATTTTTTGTTCAGGAGGCCTTAAACTACAAAACTACAAAGTTTCAGAAAAATTCGCTGAAAGCCATTTTCCATGCAAAACGTGCGGGGTCCTTTGTTTCTTTTAAAGAGGGTAATAATCGTTCTCACATTCAATGAGGTAAAATGACTAATGACGGCGAAATTACAGTAGATGGGAAAGTTCTATTGCCGAAATGTAACCTTACCATGTTGAAAATGTCAAGTCCCTACCGAAAGAGAGGTACTGGAATAGTACTGAATTGGACTTGGCTTGAGTTCCACTTCAGTACCACTACCTGATAACCCATAAGAAGACATTTTTAAAGGCGCGTATCCACTTGGCGAACACGGCGCGAACGCAACACGAAGCGAACACTGTCTACTTGGGACGTGCTTGCAACATAGGGCGAACATGTGACGAACATGTAGCGAACGAAATTATATACATAATTTTTTTTTTATTTTCACACGGAGAGAAAAATCTGCCTTTTATAGTATGAAATAGATTGCTGCTATTTTTCTTTAAACTTTTCATACTAATAGAGCAAAGATTTGAGAATTTTTAGCATGAAACTTGTCTATGCTAATAAAGTTTGTCATATAGCCTCTTATTACATACTTATTATACTTTTAATCCAACGGCGCCATGCGAAGATCGCACATAACATCATCCTACTATTTTTGCATAAGTTCTATGCTTTTTCGGGGATAGACTCTTGCAACTGGCGATTAGGACAGTTCCAATTAAGTAAAGGTGGGCGTGGCCTAATCGCCAGTTGCAAGAGTCTATCCCCGAAAAAGCATAGAACTTATGCAAACATAGTAGGATGATGTTATGTGCGATCTTCGCATGGCGCCGTTGGATTAAAAGTATAATAAGTATGTAATAAGAGGCTATATGACAAACTTTATTAGCATAGACAAGTTTCATGCTAAAAAGACATACGATTGTACTATAATTACTCAAATTTCATGCCTATATAGCATAGAAAATTTCTGTGCATTAAATGTAAACCTTTCTATACTATAAAAGGCAGATTTTTCTCTCCGTGCAATACATGAAAATTCATAAAAAAGGCGGTTTTCTTCCTTCAGTTGAAGGCGCTTGTACACCTCACAAATTCTGAGTATCCTCGGAATTGGTCAGAAGTTTCACTAACATTGATTGGCTTTGCTCATAGAGAATTTCGAAATTTTTCTATCTTTTGGAAATTCTCCATGAGCAAGGCCAATCAAAATAAGTATAACTTTTGACAAATTCCGAATATACTTAGAATTTGTAAGGTGTACAAGCGCCTTAAGAGTATTCTTATTTTAAAAAAAACCTTAAAATATTATTTAACTTTAAATTAATAATAATAGTTATCCACACTGTTAAAAATATTCGTAGTTTTAATATACATAAAGTACTTAAATTTAAGAAACTGCGTATATTAAAGCGAATTTATATATAAAGTATATTAAATTTCATTACCTATAGGAATCAGAATTAAAAAATTGAATTTTACTCAATTTATACATGTTCTTGTGTACAAAATAAGTTCATATAAATTCAAGTTTAAATCAATTTACATTGTCAAAATGCATATAATTCGACATTTAGAGTACTTAACCTAAATGTCACATATGAACATTAAAATTCTGGTATTTAGAATGATTTTTTGAAAAAAATTTCAGTATGAAACATTATTTATTTGACACGAACAACATATTAATTAAAGAATTAAGCACTGTTATTTCAATTTGAAATAAATTTTCAATATCAAGGAAATAATGACCGTTTGGTGAAATAGGTATCTACAGCCGCCATGTTGGCACATTAAATTTAATATACATGTATCTTAGATTTCAATACCTGTAGTGCATATTCGCTTCATACGCATGTCTATTAAATCTAATACAGATTTTTTTAACAGTGCATGTAAGTGAATAATTCACTTATTTATATAACTGTTGATAATTCATCTTTGATTAAAACTCGTCTCTTAAAGAATTTCAAGGTAATTTTTTTTAAAGAGAAAGGTTTTTTTCTAAACTTAAAATTATTCTTCTCTAAAATTAGACAGATTTTTGACAGAAAATTAAAAAAATGGAGAAATAGTAAAATCCTCTCAATTAAAGAGAAATAATTTAGTGCCCATATATAAAAGAAAAATTTACTGCAAAAGAAGAGATGTTCTCTTTTAATAAGAATTTTTTTTAGTGTAATGATAAATAAAAAAAATCAGGAATGAATTTCTAGAAAGCTCATAAAATGGTTTTCTATATA